GCCATATAGCTGGAATATTGCTGAGTGCGGCATAAAACTAAACTCACTCACTCACACAGGGATTAGGCTGAGATCAGAATACGGGTTGTGGTTGCAGTTGCAGTTGTGGTTGAGAATGGGATTGGGATTAGAGCTGGTGGGGTTGGGATGAATCAGGTCTGGATTAGGATAAGGATAGATAGTGGTGCTCAGTTTGGGTTAGGGTTAACCGGGACAAGGAGAGGATTGGAGTTTGAGGTTGGGATTTGGATTGGGGTTAAGATTGGGTAGGGGGTTGAGGTTAGGGTTAGTGTTGGTATTCTTCCAAAGTATCACAACATGACTACAACTATATCCTGTGCAGGTACAGACTCCTGAGGGACTTATAATATCAGCCGTATATATATTCATGAATGATGGAGGCATGACATGTAGACCAACCTGGGAATTCTGATGATGGTGGCAAGACTTGAGTAGCTACTATCTGCCCTTGCATGTGGCCGGTGACCTTGGACCTGACCTTCATTGATTAGGTTAATCACTTTCCATGTCTGTCCCACTAATAAGGTAACACTGACAGTTTGGGTCCAACATATCAACCTATTCATTAACTAATCCAATCTGCAGGAGTTCCATCACCAATATATCAATTATGTGGTGACAGAACTACAGCCAGTAATTAAGCTAATGGTGTACAGACTTCAAAGCTCAGATATATAATCATATAGTCAATTAACCCTGCATATTGAGCCTCATTATGCCAATTATGTACTGTTAGCAACAGTTTAAGTAATTCGTACTGTTAGCAACAGTTTAAGTAATCCAGTCCTCTGTGTAGTCAGCTTTACGTCTAACCCTGTAGAGTGGTGACAACACTCTCACAAAACAATAACTCCTGACATTGTTGGAGTACAGGGTCATGGTGACTGCTGCCTCGGTACTGATCATTTATTGGTTTAGCTTGCTAAAACATGTGAAGGAACTGACTAGACCGAACTAGTGAGGAGAAACACTGCCACCATAATGTGTGGAGAGACAGAGGGCATGCCATGCCTGAGTGAGTGAGTGAGTGAGTGAGGCTTATGTCAGTATTACGGAGATATGGAGGGGTGGGTATATGTGTGGAGGAAGAAAGAGGGGAGAAGACAGTGTGTTGAGATGGGATTAAAGGATCTGAAATCTGTTATAAAATGTTCGTCACACGTCTTCAGTGCTGATTACTTCAGGAATCTCCATCAGATCTAAACACATGACCTGTTAGTTCCGCACACAACAGTTTTAACATGATGGCGCCATCCTCACACCAACATTGACTGATCCTCCTCCTGTTTTAACACACTAAATTGGGACATTACAAAACGGTTAATCATCCAGGTCCGATCTGATCCATCAGCAGTGTGGGTTACACATTGCAACATCGTCTTTCTAGACACCAGGCTAAGGAATGATACCAACTCAAGCCTCGAATCATGTGGCAAGTCTAGATTGCTTCAGTTCTGGGATTTAGCATTGCTTGGTATTCCTTTTGGATTTTGGAGTTGGGTTTTGGTTCGGCTTGGGCCTAGGGCTCAGGGTCAAGGTTGGGTTTGGGTGTTGGGTTGGAGATAGGGTTTGGATTGGGATTCAGGCTTGGGAACCCGTGAAGCATGGTTAGAATGGCAACCCATGCTTGTCGTAAGAGGCAACTAATGGGATCCACTGGGGAGATTGCTTCCGCTGTGGGCTTTAGCATTGTTTGGTATTCCTTTTGGATTGTATTTTCTATTCTGTAGATATATATCCATAAATCAGTTGTATTTCAGGGACTAATTGTTAGTCTACTTGCTACACTTCACATGTGAAGGAGTAGCCCAGTGATAAAGGTGTTAATTTCCCAGGGCTCACGTTCAAATCTGATTCAATCTGTGAAGCCCATTTTTTCTGTGCCAGCTGGTAGATAGCACAACATACTCCCAGATGACAGAAGAAACACCTACAATGTATGTCTCAATCATTTATAGACTACGCCTAATTTACTACTAATCCTCCATGTGTAGTCTTGCTTGTGGGACAGTTTTTACAGATGCACTCCACCAGCATTACATGAAGTGGTGCCTTGCAGAGAACGACGTACAGTCTCACAAACACAGAGAAAAAACAAACATTTATCTTGTAACTTACACAGACCCCCTGACATCAGCCACAGGTGTTAATGGGGAAGTCATGTCATGTTTAAAAAGTCTTCATCATCCTAACCACCTCCCCTGGAATTCTGCCCATCCTTCCATATTGGCTCTGTCCGTGTGGCATGGATTTGCTAGATGAACGTCATATTTACTGTCACAACCTGACATTTCTGACACAACTGACACGTGATATCAAATGTTTATCAACATGAAAACATACAATCTGTGTTGGATACAAACTACATAACCTAGGAGTCTGAGAGCAAACCGCTAGTGTTGTTACGACTCTTCACAAATATGAATGAAGATTTAATGTGTGAGTTAGTTGCTTCAGGGTCTGTATGACAGACTATGAGTGAGTGGGTTGGGTTTAATCCTGCTTTGACCAGTATTCCTGTTACATCATAGAGTGACAACTTAATGTGGGTGGGAGTCCGAAGTGAAGGTGATCTCAAACACTGACCACTTTGGTTACACCCACAAGCATGGGCACAATGTAGACACAACCTTGAAACATCATCAGGTCAAGACAGGAGTCTGTCATGCCCAACAGATGCATCAATGCACTGTGAAGTTCAATGCCTAACTAAATATAATGTTTTATGCAATATATGAATTTTTTTATTTGCTTAAAAATGATCAATCTGCTCCTCATCCTCTTCAGATCTTTACGCCTAACTGTAATAAGAATCATATTCAGCGATTGTGTTTGAATGTGTCTTGTCGGTTCTGTCAAAGTCTGTTTATCTATGACTGAGCTTTGAAAGTTGTTTTGTATGATTTTATTGGTTAAGATAGTGAGTGACAAAAGTTAAGATAGTGAGTGACACAATGTTATTACCCACCATCTTTCAAGGACATGACATCATCAATGGGTTTCCTGCTATAAGTGTCTTGACTTGCCCTTGCATGTGTTTGTGACAGATGTTGACCTCTTTGGATCACCAGGTGTCATCACTATTTGTTAGTGATTCATTAACACATGACCTGGGATCTCTTTTGAATATAGGAAGACGTTTGACACTTTTGTTGTCTAATTAATCCATGTCAGACCACGGTGCTCATGTTACCGTGAGGTGCTCAGTCAGATGCAACACAAACGCAACTACTGATGAAGGTGTATTGACATTTTTCAAACCGTTTGAACCTACAATTACTTTTAACCTTGAGATGTCTGAACTGGATACAAAAGAATCTGTCTGCAGCAAAACCTATATCTGCCTTACAGCAGTGGGAAATTTCATTTTGGATGATATTTTGACTAGTTTGTCAGGGTAATACAAACAGAAATGACACGCAACCATATGACTGACAAACACATTTACACAAAAATTAACCTGTGAAGGTCCAGGTTAGAACTGGCCAGAGGTACAGATAAGCTGCGTATCTGCGTAAATTACGCAAATATTTATGTGAAAAATCCATTTCTATTCAGTCTATTGCGTACAGTACGCTCGAATTTTTGTAAATACTCAATAAATGTCATCTTACATGCGAACATACAAAAATGTCAAATCTTAGCTTGCGTACCAGTGGATAGATAAAATAACTGAAGTATATTGAGAGGTTCTATTTCAGGACATGAACTTGAGAACTTGCAGTCTTTCTTATCGTTTCTCATATTACAGATCGAATATAAATAACAAACATTAACATTTAAACTTTACTATATTTTCAAATTTAATGGAAAATGGCAAAATACCCACTTGAGTTTGAGTGGGGTGAGTACAATTTATTTGGTTACTCAAAGAAAAATTAGGATACCCAATTGAGATGAACACAAGAGAGTACATAACTCAATGACCCAAAATGTTATCTGTAGCTCTGACTGGCCTTCAGCAACCCATGCTTGCCAAAGCAGGCAACTTGACAGACTTGGGTGATGCATGTCATGGTGTCCCCATTCAGAAGATCAAAAGCTGTCATGGCTGGCATATCGTGAATGAGGCATTAAGCTCAAACAAACAAAAACTCTAAGAGATAAAAAATTGCAAGGATCAACTATTTAAACATTTAGATCTCAAATTATCTATAAAAAAATAACAACAGTCTTCATTAATAACATGTGTAAACAAATAAATAACAGTACAAGAATATCTATCAAGCAACATTTGCAATAACTGAATATTTTCGTTTGTGAATTTAATTTTCAACTGAGGGTCCATCAGTACACATACAGAAGCTGACAGATGTTCAATTTGCTTCAGCACAGTTTTCACAATTAATGAAAATATATTGATATTTACCTCCGATGTAAAAAACATTTTGTAGGTTAACACTGAATAGTCAGGTGAATGCTTGCAACATATGTGTACTAATCACATGAGTCACTGCACGAAGAAAACACCATCATGAAATCAATATCACTCGAACTCACATGCCCATATCTGGATCTACCAACATATGGTATAAATTGTTTTAATTTTACCAAAAAATTAAATTCATAATTCAAATTCATAGAAAAAACAAAGAAAATGAATATACACATTTAGATCCATGTGTATGGAATCAAGAATGGATATGCTTTCATTAATGAAAAACTGCAAAAACAACATGATGTGGTAAAGATGAACACATTTCAACTTGTAATATTATTACACACACATGTGTACGCCATCAAAAGACACTATGTATAGGATGTTTGTGTAATTAATTCATTATCGCATGTAAGTCATGTCTGAATCCATCATTAAGCTGGTATTTAGAGTCTGTGACACTTAACCATCGATACTGAAATAGACAGCACGGCATCCTCCACCCGCAACGGAGACAACATACTACTTCAACACAACATATTCATACTAGCAGCACTGGTAATGTCTGACGAACAAATGGCAACATCGGCCAGGTACTCACCTGACGAGGAAGTAGTGTTAACACCTTCAGAGAGAATACAGGTAATCCACAGGATATGCATCCACACCTTTACTGATTATAATCCTTACAACACTGCCACAGAGGCTGCTTCTAGAAGCAGGCAGAAGCCGTGTAGAATCACTCAGCTCAAACAGTACTCCCAGCCGGTTGTAAGTCCTGCGGCAATGGTGTTAGCTGAAAATACAAATTTCACCATTACCCATTTGAAGGTCCATGGCAGCTGTGACAGAGACAGGTGAGCTGCTCCCACTGGTGTCGAACAGCCACTTTACTCAGTACTCTAACACAAGCATATATCACAGCCTCCAATACCGTTACCACGGTAATTGACAGAAATTTGCGCATATAATTATACAGGCAATGTCTGCATTGCTGCTGTTAGCATGGCAGTAGGAGATGGACACATGGTCCAGCCTGCCTCAGTGTAGGGCTGCTTGTCTACGGTAACCTTCCTCTCATCAACTGCTGTTACTGCCGATGCAAGGAACACACTGCCAGGTCTGGGAGCTGGATGACGCTGGGTTAGACCAGGGAGGGACGAAGTATCTCCTCGCTCTGCATGCCGGTGTGAGGCACACTGCTGCTCACTATCAACTGAAGGAACTACAGAACATGATCAATGTCGTCCCATCCAGCTCTCACATATACTCAGGCTTCAGGTCAGGTATTAAACTACTGCAACGTTCTGTTTTGGGTTTATTACTGTCATCATGGTATAGTATAGTCAACTTTTCATTTATTGTACAGTTTATATACTCTCGTATTGATTTGTATATATATTTCATAAATTAGGACTGGACGGAAGACAATTCAACATGTTTTCATATATTGAAACAGTATAAATGTCACATTAAAATAACTGTGGAATTCATTATTCAACGGTCTGGGCAAATCAATCGACAGTGTATGAGTTATGATATTTCATAAGCTGGTGAAACACAGGAACCATTTTAATCCAGCAGCAGCTATATATACTTCATTGTGGAAGCTTTATCATATGAAAAATATATCCTTGGCAAGTACAAGAAATCAATAGATGCAGGCAGAGTAACCCACACACCAGTCTGGGGAGGGTGCAAGTCAAACACCAGGTGGTGGCAGGGAAGGGTGCTGTAGGACACCAGGTGGTGAATGAGGAAGATGTACAACTTGAAGACGGGGTGTGAGAGGGTATTATATAATTAGAACACCAGGTGGTGGGGAGGTGAAGTTGATCTACTTAAACACAAGGCTGGTGTTGTTCACGCACCTGGGAGGGATCTGGTGGGAGGTACTTAAACACAAGGCTGGGGAGGGTGTTGTTCAACCTGGGGACTAGGGGATGGAAGGGTAGGGTATAGTAAAACTATGACACCAGGTGGTGGGGAGGTAGTTGATCTACTTAAACACAAGGCTGGGGAGGGTGTTGTTCAACCTGGGGACTAGGGGATGGAAGGGTAGGGTATAGTAAAACTACGACACCAGGTGGTGGGGAGGTAGTCAATCTACTTAAACACAAGGCTGGGGAGGGTGTTGTTCAACCTGGGGACTAGGGGATTGAAAAGTATAGTAAAACTACGACACCAGGTGGTATGAAGGAGTTTGTGAGGAAGAATGTGTCCTATATATTGGACACCATGTGGGTGGGAGGGAAGAGAGGGTGTTATACAATGTAGATGTCAGGTTGTAAGGATGGTGTCATAGAACACCTGGTGGTGGTGCTTGTGGGGTCTGTACAGACACTAGGTGTGGTTGGATGTGGGATGTATTGTAGGAGAAGAAGGTATGGTGCATCTCAGTGTTGGGGTAGTATACAAGTCAGATACCTGGTGTTGTACAATACATCATGTGAAGGATAAGTAGATCACAACCAAGACACCGGTTGTTGGGAGAAGTGTCCAAGGCACCAAGTGGGTAGTAATAAAACAGTAAGTTATACAACATGATGGTGTTGGTGGGGGTGGGGGTCAACCACGCCCCAGATGAAGCGAGTGAGTTTAGTTTAATACCGCTTTTAGCAATATTCCAGCAATATCATGGCACGGGACTTCACATATTGTACCCATGTGGGGAATAGAACCCGGGTCTTCAGGGTGACAAGCAAACACTTTAACCACTAGGCTAGCCCTCTGCCCAACACCAGATGAAGGAATGTGGAGGTGACTGAACAAAATACTCAAAAGTACAATACACTAAACAAAACAGACAACAGTAAGATATGTAACGTTAAGATCATACCAGCGTCATTTTTCAACAAAGCCCAAAAATAAATTCCTCAACACGGCATTGCGAGTGCATGATTCATTCAAGAAAACTCAAACCTCATCCCATCCTGAGCTTTCAAACGGTTCATTGTTACACATTCCACAGTCCAACATCCCTGGTTACATCAGTCATTGTCCACCTTGCCAAGCACCTGCATCTCCCGCTGATTGTTTTACCCCAGTCAATTACACAGGCACACTTGACCTTCCACATGCATGCAGGTTCAACAGTAATGTGGGGGCTGTATCAAAGGTCAAATGATTATTTTAGTTTGGCTGTGGACAAAGTAACGTCCCTGTTTATAGAACTAAGACAAACGCCCAGCTATGAATCACAAGCTGTCTCCAGTATCTGGTTACTGTAGACTAGACTTGTAGTACAGGGATACCCTTGTATGTTTTACAAGTAATGAGCTCTTCTCAAGCATGGGGTGAGTGAGTCAGTGGAGTTTATGCCTTGTCAGCACAACACAGGTAGAGGAACAAAGGACACCTATCATGGTTTCTTCTGTCACTATCAACATTTATACACACACTATCTTCTGGAGAAACATTTCAGGTGAATTTCTGTATACAAACCACTTCTTTTCTGTTCTATTTGCCTGGCTACCATTTTTTTCAAAAAGAAGAAATTGTTAGAGGTATGTCCAGTTCTGAAAATTGTTAGCTTTCTTCTCATCAAGTTTTTTTCTGAAGCAGTGGTCAACACAATATTCTGTCAAACTACAAAATACTGGAAGAGCCCAACCAGATTATTAAATGGTCTGCCCCGTACTTCAACTGACATTTAAATACAGACACAACCAAGACAGCAGAGATTTCAGGCTGAGACAATCTAGACTTGCCAAATCCATCATTCTCGACTTGAGTTACTTATTTAAGAATATTCTCTGGAGTCTCTGAGAAAGACACCACTTTTTTCTCACTCTAAAACACATATTTGTACAGTACTTGTGTGAATGAATATAGAGAGGAATGAAGGTTAAGTGTGTGGATGGGTCAGTGGTTGAGTATTGAGTGAATGGTTAATTGAGTGTGTGGTTGAGTGTTTGAGTAAGTGGTTGAGTGGATGAGTGAGTGGTTAAGTGAGTGGTTGAATGGTTGAGTGAGTGGTTGGGTGGTTGAGTGAGTGGTTACTTGAGTGCATGGTTGAGTGAGTGGTTGAATATTGAGTGGTTAATTGAGTGGTTGAGTGAGTGGTTGAGTGGTTGAGTGAGGTAGGTGAGTGAATGAATGAGTGAGGAAGTGAGTGAGGTAGTTAGTGAGTGAGTGAGTGGCATTATATACAAACAACAAAAGTTAGAATTCATAAATATTGCTAGCCAGATCGTTGACCAAAGCAAAGAGTCCCATATGGTCATCCAACGTACTGTATCTCCAATCTGTCATTATATTGAGCAGGACCACTGGTCACCATAGCCTTTTCTCAGTAGCCCCAATCTCCCTTATCACTAACATTAACACTAACACTAACAAGCACAGAATTTATGTCACTTCCGACTTCAAATCAACAACCAGTCAAAATGCCTCCTCACACATTCGCCACAGATTTCCATGCAGAATGTATGGCCTCATCTGAGAAAGGCCTCACAGTATACACAGTGTATTTCACAGTATCGCAGATACTGTCATGACAGAACCGTGTAATTTCATTGGATGTTTTCAGCAACATGAGTGAGTGAGTTTAGTTTTATGCCGCACTCAATAATATCCCAGCTATATGGCGGCGGTCTGTAAATAATTGAGTCTGGACCAGACAATCCAGTGATCAACCGTATGAGCATCAATCAATGCAGTTGGGATAGGATGACGTGTGTCAACCAAGTCAGCGAGCCTGACGACCACGATCCTATTAGTTGCCTCTTACGACAAGCATGGGTTACTGAAGATCAATTCTAGCCCGGATCTTCACAAGTCTCAGCCACATGACATTCAAACCGGACTGCTATGGTGATGCATGGGTGTCAGGGTATTTAGGATAAGAGCATGGAGACTTAATCCCCTGGACGCTGGAGGATGGTGTGGCACGATGGTGTAGGAGCGGCAAAGGAGTGGTCAATGTCTGCAGGTGCTGTATTCCTATCTGTGCACAAATAAACACCTTACTCCCAGTCAGATGCAGACACTGAAATGTCAACCAGGAATATGCTGGGAGTGTGTAGGTGGTGCCCGTGTGATGATTGCCCTACTCATAGACACAAACAATATCAGTTTCAGGAAAACAGTATCAGTGTTCGAGAAAATAAGACTGGGCTTGGCAGCCTGTTTAATGACTCCCACTATTGGCTTTAGATTTATTTCATAAACTGTTTATCACAAATGGAAATCATGGTGTAGAACTGATAGAATTTTGTCCAAATAGATAATTTGTGACAGAAGCTTTTTTCACACTTATGGGAAGTGTGAGGTGTTGGTAAATTGATCCTTATTCTGAAGGCGGCAAAGGAGGATGCATGTATCATGTTGCCATGCCTCTCAGTATCAAGGTATAGAAGGATTGGAAATTTAAAACTCATTAATCCTTACAGTCTTACAAGGCATCTATAATCATAGTCTGGGTAAATATGCAATATTCTGAGATTTATTACGAAAAATTTCATCTTTTCAAATAAAGAATTTTTTTTTTTTCAAGTTCTTCACAAATGATCAGAGAAGCAATTATGGGAATTTCCATCTTAATGAACACCCAATACATTTTAACACACATTAACACAAAAATTACATATCTTTTAAAATACTGACATATGGAAGATTATGAATCCACTATGGCAGGTAGGTGAACGAAGGACTTATAGGCGTTGCAAAATTAATCGACTGTATCATCCAAAGGCCATAAAACTTAATTTCATCTTTATCTCGCAATACATCTTGGGTTTATTAAAGTGATACCTTTTTCTGGAAAAAAACACTTCCCAGTCTCTTTCAAAGATATAATGGCTAGTCCTTTAACCCACTATCATCTGTGTCATCTACCCTGCGATTGAAACATCGATGTAAACAATGGAGAGATCTGTGATCTGAGACATTTGTCACACACCGAGTTTTTGTAGGTTTCTGCTTCAAGACTTTGTGTTCTCTTAAAGAACAAGGCAACTATGTTAATGTCTTTCTCTGGTAAGCCTGCAGATATGAGGCCAAATTTTGTTTTCCCCAATTTTCAGGAACATCCAGACCCCACCATCAGTTCCCGTCCAGTTGCAAGGCACCACTATTTCTTTATATCATTGCAGGATATGTCATGAGTGTCATGATTTCTCTCCAACATTTAATAAAACGTTCCAATAGATTCATGAGGCAGCCCCAACATTATATAAAAAATACAACCTAATATCCACAACTGATTTGGCAAGAACTTCGGCTACAACCTGATCAATGCAAAACACAGCCATAAATCCACGTAACATTTGGCCAAGCTTAACACATTATTACCGTTACTCTATCAATATTTGCAGGAACAGAAGCATTCCTGTA